CTCTGTCGATTGTGCTTTTTCAGTTATGTTTGGTAATCATTTTATGCCGTTATGGAGCTCTTGTGGCTTAGAGGTAATGATTAAGGAGCTGTGCTGCCAACCCAAAGCCAGGCGGTTTAAGGCCACTAGCTGCTCAGTGGGAGATACACGGACAGTCTTCTCCTGTGTAATTTACAGCCTCTGAAAACTGGCTGATGTGTTGTGAGACTGGTAGATGTTTGAAGGCATGTATAGCTGGAGTGGAAGTTGTGGTGGGGGTGACATTTAGTGGGAGGCAAGTTGTGTCTTTAACATGCTGGAGGAATTGGCTTCGGGAACCTGGGGGAGGCGGAGTGAACGATCATGTTCCTAGGTAGTATTGTGTGAGTCCCTCTCAGGGAGAACTTCTGACTTAACAGTTTTCAACCTTGAATCTTTATTCTGGGGATAGTCTGTTCAGAGGCCCTGGTTGGCACTTATCTGGCATTCCCAGGGCACCTTGGACTGTTTATCATCTGTGAGCTCTAGTCTGTACTCCCGGTCTCTGTGTCTCTGTCTGCAGGAGTTGGCTCTGACTTCCGGGGTGGGGGCGGGACAGGAGCTTTGGGAGGCTGAGGGAGAAGTGTGGGGGGGATGATGAGCCTTTCACACCCTTGGCCCTCCTTTGGCACCCTCTTCTCTCTGCCTTCACTTCAGATCTTGGCTTCTGCTCTCTCCTAGATACTCAACCATCCTGGCTCCTAGCCTAGGTAGAGGGAGGAAGAGCTTATTTCCTTCAGCTCTTCTCTGAAAATAACCCAGCTGGCAACGCTCAGGAACAAGAAGTTCCTGAACATGTTGACCTATCACAGTGCTAGTGTCTGGTGGGACCCACTGTGAACTTTCTCTCTGTTCCACTTGCTGTCTATCTAGGGGCCTGTGTGCAGTGAATTCCAGAGGTCTTTGATGCCTCTACCACGAGCCCTGGTGGTGAAGTGGATTAAGTGTTGAGGTGCTAACTGAAAAGTAGGCAGCTCCAGCTACCCCTGGGGGAAAAGAATGGGCAGGCTGCTCCAATAAGCCTTGCAGCCTTGGACACCAGATGGGGCACTTCTACTCTGTCCAGTAGGGCTGCTGGGAGTCGATCTGGTTTGGTTCTCTAACATGGTGAAGTGAAGTGATAGAGGGGAGGGAACCCTGATGTCATGGGGTGTTGAGTCAACTCAGACTTGCTACAATCTTATGTGTGACAGAATGAAAGTGGTCTTGCCCCTGTGATTGTTAGTGGGGGTTTTTTGTAATGCCTTCCGACCTAGAGGGCTCTTTAGCGCTATGTTAGACAAGTATGCTGTTGTAATTCAAAGGGTTTTCATGGAACCTCTGTAGGTTCCATGGTCTGGAAGCTCTACTGAGCCCTGCCAAACATAGGTAATCCTGCTGGTATTTGAAAGTTTACCTTCTTACAGCCTTTGTTGTTGTTATCTGCTATCAGGTAGACTGTCACTCATAGCGACCCTATGAACAATAGTTCTGGGCCTTGCCCTATCCTGGGCCAGCCTCACTGCCTCTGACACACCTGACCCCATTGCTGCAATCACTGTATTGATCCATCTCATCCAGGGTCTTCCTCTCTTATACTAACAATTCTACCTTTTCTTCTCCAAGGACTAGTCCTGCCTGATAGCATGCCCACAAGTATGTGAGATAGAGTTTCAAAATCCTTTCCTCTGAGGAACAAGCTGGTTTCACCCTCTCCAGGGCAGACCTGTTCTCTTGGTGGTCTATTGTATGTTTAGCACTCTTCTCCAGCCCCACAACTCAAAGGCATCCTTCTTGTGTCATCCTTAGCTCTTGTCCAGCTCTCAGATGCATAGCAAGCAATCGAGAAGACCATGGCCTGGATTGAATGCACCTTAGTCTCTAGGCTGACATTGGTTTTTAGCACTCTAGCTCTAGCACCATAACAACACCCATGTCACTTGAGGGACTTTTGCAGGTTGTAGTGAGCACTGGGGGATCATGAAGAGGAGGGAAGGAATCTCAGCCAACAGGTGCAGTCGGGCTGTTCCATGACTCCAAGATCAAGTTCCCCTTGCCCCATCCTGGTCTTGTGTTGCTACACAAGCCACAGTTCACCACCAAGTGGCCCAACACCGCCTTCTAGGCACAAGCCCCTTCCCCATCCGGGTCTGCCCAATAAAACGCCCTGGGGACTGGAAAAAATGACTCCTGGGACAGATGTGATGGGCATGCTGTGTGGGGATGGGATAATATTTGGAAGGCCCTGCAGCATCTGTTTTAGAAAAAAGGTACCTCTGACTGAGGCCCATGAACGTTCACGGTAGCCCTGTCATCCATCTCTTCTGGCTGTTCTGAGTGCCTGATTGCAAGTAACCTCTCATCCTGGAACCCAAAACTGAGTGTGGGGTTAGGTAAAAGTGGGGCTGTAAGCATCACTTCTCCTGTCCAGACAGATTAATTTGAAAAAATGTGAAAGAGTAGGTTAGAGAATGGAATAAAAGTAGCGAGTGGCCACAGTAGTGGGTGTCCAGTAAATATTCATTGCATACTGAATTGTTGTTGTTGTTGTTATGTGCCATTGAGTCGCTTGCGACTCATAGCAACCCTATGTACAACAGCCCTAAACTCTGCTCTGTCCTGTGCCAATCGCACTGTCTCTGACACTCCCATCCCAATTATCCCAGTCACTGAATCAATCCACCTCATAGAGGGCCTTCCCCTCCTGCGCTGTCCCTCCACCCTCCCGAGCATGATGTCCCTCTCCAAGGACCGGTCTCTCATCACAACATGTCCAAAGTATGTTAGACGGAGCCTCAGAATCCTTGCCTCCAAGGAACCACCCGGTTTAACCCTTTCCAGGACAAATCTGTTTGTTTTCCTAGCAGTCCATGGTATTCTCAATACTCTTCTCCAGTACCACAGCTCAAAGGCATCAATTCTCCTTCTATCTTCTTTGGTCATTGTCCAACTCTCTGATGCATAACAAGTGATTGTGAAGACCATGGCCTGTATCAGACGCACCTTAGTCTCCAGAGAGACACCATTGCTCTTCAGTACTTTGGAGAGGTCCCTAACAGCAGACTTTCCCATGGCAATGCACCTTTTAATTTCCTGGCTGCTAGTGCCAAGACTGTTGACTGTGGAGCCAAGCAAACTAAAGCTGTGTACAATCTCAATCTCTTCACCATCCATCCTGATCCTGCCAATTGGTCCAGTCGTGAGAATCTTTGTCTTCTTGACATTGAGCCTCAATCCATATTGTACGCTGCAGTCCTTGACACTCTGCAGCAGGCACTTCAGTTCCTCTTCATTTTCAGCAAGCAGGGTAGTGTCATCCGCGTAACGCAGATTGTTGATAAATCGTCCACCAATCTTGACCCCACATTTCTTCTCATAGAGCCCAGCCCCCTGGATAATCTGTTCTGCATATAGGTTGAAAAGGTATGGAGATAGGATGCATCCCTGGCATACGCCCTTCCCAATTTTGAACCATGCAGTGTTCCCTTGCTCTGTTCTGACGACTGCCTCCTGGTCCAAGTATAAGTTTCACATTAGAACGATCAAGTGTTCTGGGATTCCCATTCTTCTCAGAGTCAGCCATAGTTTGTTATGATCTACACAGTCAAATGCCTTTGCATAGTTAATGAAACACAGATAGACATTCCTCTGGTATTCCCTGCTTTCAGCCAAGATCCATCTAACATCAGCTACAATATCTCTAGTACCACGACCCCTTCTAAACCCAGCCTGGACTTCTGGTAGTTCTCTGTTGATGTGCTGGTCCAGTTGTTTTTGGATAATCTTCAGTAAAATCTTGCTTGCATGTGAAATCAGTGAGATTGTTCTGTAGTTTCCACATTCGGTTGGGTCACCTTTCTTTGGGATAGGAACAAATATCGATCTCTTCCAGTCAGTTGGCCAAGTGGTTGTTCTCCAGATTTCTTGGTGAGCACATCCAGGGCAGCATCTGTTAACTGAAATATGTCAATTGGTATACCATCTATTCCTGGAGCCTTATTTTTTGCCATTTCCTTCAAAGCAGCCTGAACTTCTTCTTTCATCACCATAGGCTCTTGACTTGGAGTCTATCCCACCTGAATTTCGGAACCGTCTCAGGAACAGGTTTGAGGCTTTGAACACTAATGAGAGAGGGCCAGATGAGTTGTGGGAGGATATCAAAGGTATCATCCAGGAAGAGTGCAAATGGTTATTGCAAAGACAGAAGAGGAAGAAAAGACCAAAGTGGATGTTAGAAGATACTCTGAAGTTGGACTAAAAGTTGAGCCTTGAAGGACTAGAAGGGGTGAGCCCTGGGGGAAATTCTGGAGACCAGGGAACTAACACTGTCTTAGGGAGAGAAGAAGGTGGCTCTTTCAAACTTGTAGGGAGCAAGCAGCTATGGCGAGTTGGAAGGGCCAGAAGGCGAAGATGGCTTGGCCTAGGTTAGAAGGTGGAAAGGGTAGGGGGTGTCGCCTGTCACCAAGCGAGCCAACGAGCAAGAGGAGGGGTTTGCTGGATTTCCCCACCCCTACCCTGACTTCCGGGCCTAGGGGAGGGACCCGCAGGGACGGAGCGGACCAATCGCTGACTCCCGGCCGCCTAAAGGTGGCTCCGCGATGAAAGCCCAGTCTCGCTGGCTGTTACTTTAGGAAAAGTTGACACATTGGAGAACTGCCAGTAGCCTACTCCTCTGACACGCAGGCTTATTCCTGTTCCCACCTTTCCCACCTTTATTCCCCTTCTGGGGTGTCATCGCACCCAGCCGAGCCGCCTTGTTCCCTAAGTTCCTCCTTAAATTGGGGGGCCTGGGCGGGGTGGCCAGGGCAGCTGGGGCGGGGCCTCCCGCCAATTTCCCGGGCCGCCTCCTCGGCCCTAGTCCTTGCAGCGGAAGCGGCCGAGTCAGGTAGGCAGGGGGCTGTCTGCAAGCCCGAGAACTGTTTGCACACCCTCCTGGGACCAGGGTCGGGTTCTTCTAGGGCACAGCCTGAGTGCAGGGGTGCTTCTCCTGTCCAGGTTCCACGGGCACCATGAACCAGGACACCGAGGTGGACATGAAGGAGGTGGAGCTGAACGAGCTGGAGCCCGAGAAGCAGCCCATGAACGCGGCGGGGGCCGGCGCGGAGAAGAACGGCCTGGTGAAGCTCAAGGTGGCCAACGATGACGAGGTGGCCTCGGCCAAGTTCACGGGCTTGTCCAAGGAGGAGTTGCTGAAGGTGGCGGGCAGCCCCGGCTGGGTGCGCACGCGCTGGCTGCTGCTCGTGCTCTTCTGGCTCGGCTGGCTGGGCATGCTGGCCGGCGCCGTGGTCATCATCGTCCAGGCACCGCGCTGCCGCCCGCTGCCCGCGCAGAGGTGGTGGCACACGGGCGCCCTCTACCGCATCAGCGACATTCAGGCTTTCCAGGCGGACAGCGCGGGCAACCTGGCCGGTTAGTTCCACCCTCACCGCTTTACACGGCACCCTGTCACTGGATGAGCACCCCACCGTCGATTGTAGCCCAGCACCCTCCCGCTTCGTCTGGTTTAACCCCCCCCCCTTTGGTGGTTTAATTTGGCCATCCTATCCCCATTCTCTCTGTTTCCTTGATTCACCCCTCTCAGTGCCCCCCTAAGGCTGCCTAGCTCATAAGTCCTCCTCCTTGAACAAGAAAAATGCAGCCCAGTGACCCCTTGATTGTGCTGATTCATCACTCTCCCTTCCCTGCAGCCCTGGGAACCGGTCACAGCCGGTTTCAGAAGCAATGTGGAAGGTTCCTTGCATCAGCTTCCCTGAGTCCTGTGACCTAGCCTGCACCCCACTCTTCTCGGGCTGAGATGGAGGAGAGGGTCTCACGCCTTCCCTGGGGGCTTCACTTTGACTCCATCCTTGACTTCCCATTTCAGGCCTAGGGGAACGCCTGGATTACCTTAGCACCCTGAAGGTGAAGGGCGTGGTGCTGGGTCCAGTTCACCACAACCAGCCAGATGATATAGACCAGACCAACTTGAAGCTGATCGACCCCACTCTTGGATCCAACGAAGATTTCGAGAAATTCCTCCAGTCAGCCAAGAAAAAGAGTAGGTGCCCTGGAGTTGACGGGGAAGCAGTAGAATAGTCTGACATCTGGCTGAAGGAAAGGCAGTTGAGATTTTTGTCTGGTTCGCCCAGGCTGGTCCTGAGTTTTCAAGGCCAGACTAGGGGAATGGGTTAGGTTGGAGATGGCTTTCGTGAGGACTTTCCCAGGCTTCCCATTTGACTGTGTATTGAACACATCATTTACTTTTTTGGGTTTCAGTGCTCTTATTTGCAAAATACAGAACTTTACTAGGTCTTTAAATTTGTGAAATCATAAGTCCATTTAAAAAAATACCTCAAAGGAAATACTGCCTTACAGCTCATTATAAAAGTATTAGAATGGTTTAATCTGGGGATGGCGAGCCCAGTTCCCCACAGCTCTGCTTCTTATACTTGCACTACTGGGTCTTAAGACTTTTTCTTACTTCCAGCTCTGTTCCAGTAGTTTTTAATCACAGTTTGAAGCCAAACTTTCGTACCTAGTTATTCATAGGAAACAATCAACAGAACTGAGCATTGATTTCTTCCTTTCCCCTCACTCCAAAGCCTTTCTCACATTATCTGTCCCTCCTTTGTTCCAGGCATAAGGGTCATTCTGGACCTCACTCCCAACTATAAGGGCCAGAACTCATGGTTCCTCCCCAACCAGGTTGAAGTAGTGGCTTCCAAGATGAAGGTGAGTGTGTTGGGGGCTGCTGCTGATAGGAACCAAGACAGTGGGGTTCTAGGGGTCCTTCCTCAGCAAGCCCTATAAATCTAGCGAGGTTCCTGCTGTGGGGCTTTTTGCTGCTTGAAGCAAAGCAGGAAGGATAGGCTCCATCTCTTTTTTTTTTTGTTCTTACTCCTTTCATAGCCATTCCTTGTTGTTTTCTTGACTCTGAGGGTGATAGTGCCAGGAAGAGAATAGCTCAGATATCAGTCTGGAAGCTTGACTTTCCTTCCTTTAGGTAAAGGAAGCCTTTGTGAGAATTCTGCCCCGACTGATTTCCCAGGTTTTGTTTGATGTGTTGGAGGTGGAGTTCAGTGTGAATTATAAGCACTGAGGCTTCCTGCATGCCTGGGACAGTGCCAAGTATATATGTTTTCCAATACCTTATATAGCAATAGATGGTATATGATGTCAGCCTTAGTTTATAAATGAGTAAGCTAAGGTTCAGAGGGGCTTAGTATGCCCAGGGTCTCTCAGCTAGTAAAGGTGTTGACGTCCCAAGTCATCTGTTTCTCCAGGCTATATTTCTTAAAACCTTACCTAGTCAGCTGGGCATGAGCTTTGCTCATCACCTAGCTCCTGGAACCTGGTTTCTAGGACACTGGCCGATTCAGAATGAGTACAGCAGAAATGGAGGTAGACTCTGACACTTTCTTGGGTACTTACTGTGCTTCTGATCTTGGTTTCCCACCTTTGGGCAGGATGCTTGAGGTGATAAAGTTTAGCTCTGATGAGAGGACATTTTCAGATGGTAGTGTAAGGAGGGGTAGCCTCTGAAGATGGTGATGAGAGAGGGCATATAAAACAGCAGAAAAAAGGGAAGACAAGCAGAAACCTGTTCTGCAGAACTGGTTCTCACTTTTCAAGTCTTCACCTGAACTGCCCTGGAGCTGTGCTTCCAGTTTCTGCCTTTCATCCTTGACCTTGTTGTTTCTTGCTCATGTGTGTCAAGCTCTTTTCCTCATAGCCTCCCCAGCCCTGAGGACCATGCACTTGTCCTGTCACCTTGAGACTTGCCATGTGGATGCCATCCTAATAGCCTGGTATTGCTGTAGCACCAATACTGCAAGTGAATGACTTTAAAGAATAGAACTTTATTTTCCCACAGATTGGAGGCTGTAAGTTAGTCAGGGTATATTCCTTCTGCAAGCTCTTGCCTGTTGCCTGCTGGTGCTCCTTGGTGTGCCTTTGCTTGTAGACCAGCCCCTCATGTCTTTCCTCTGTGTGAGCAGGCAAGTGCTTTAGCTATGGTGTCACCAGGACTCCAGTGGGAGGACTAGAGAAAGAAAACGCTTTAGCACTAGGATCATCAATGGGTATGCTTCGAGTTAGAGGCTAGACTTTTTAATAGAAGTAGGGGAAATGAGATCCAGGCCCTTGACTATTGTCAGGACATGGAGGGACCCATATAGTACATGAAGTTCAGGGATGGAATCTGGTAAATCTTGGCATCAAAAATTCTTGTTATTGTCAAGTCAGAAATCAACTTAGTTGGCCCTTTAATGCATTTCTGAGACTGTAAATCACCCAGGAGGAAACTGCCCATTTTTCTCCCTCTGAGCTGCTAAAGGATTTGAACTACTGGAGGGGTGTAACTGTTAGGTGGTAGCTCATCTCCCTACCAGTTACGCCTCCGGAGCTTCATAAACCTTTGCATCGGGGAGCTGATATCTTTCTTCTCTTCCTCAATCCCATCTAGGACGCGCTGGAGTTTTGGTTGCAGGCTGGTGTGGATGGGTTCCAGGTACGGAACGTGGAGTATTTGATGGTAAGTTTTCTTTCTGGCTGAGAAGCAGAGCCTGGTTGAGACCAGAGGGGCTTCTTGAAGGCCTTGCAAAGTTCTTGCTCCTTGACTGGATTTTTTTTCTTCTAGAATGAATCCCTTTTCTTAGCTGAGTGGCAGAACATCACTCAGAGGGTCAGTGAAGACAAGTGAGTTCCAGGCTCCCCTCCCCAACTCTGCTCCATTTGGGATCCCCTCAGTGGAGTACTTGGCCCCAGGGCGGGGTAGTTCCTAGTCCAGAGAATCTTTCTTCTTTCTTTCCTATCTTATACCAACCTTGACCCCTGCCCTCCACAGGCTCCTGATTGCAGGGATGAATTCCTCTGACCTTCAGAAGATCCTGCAGCTGCTGAACTCTGACTTCTTACTGACAAACTCATACTTAACCAGAACTGCTGATAGTGTCAATGATACACAATACCTTTTCACTCACTATTGGTACTCTACTGGCAATCCGTGGTGTACCTGGAGTGTGAGTATAGCGGGAGAGAGAGGAAGACCTTTGTCGGGAGATAAGCAGAGTGGGCTGTGCACTCACCCGTGTCTCTATCCCTGCAGATATCTCAGGCTGGGCTCCTGACTTCCTTTGTGCCCGCTTCCCTCCTCCGACTCTACCACCTGCTGTTCTTCACTCTTCCGGGGACCCCCATTTTCAGCTATGGGGATGAGATTGGCCTGGAGGCAGCTGCCCTTCCTGGAAAGGTGGTGCTTTCTGCTCAGCCAGCACAGCGGGGGAGTGTGTGCACGTGGCCTGCGGGTGGGGGCAAGCATGAGTCCTGAGGTGGTGCTGTCTTTGATTCCTAATCTGCTACCCATTCAGCTCAGTTCTGTGTGGCCTTGGGCAAGTTACCTCACCTCTCTGAGAGGATAGTCTCTTCTGTGGTATTGCCTTCTTGGCAGAGTGCTTAGGATTAAATGAGTACATTTTTAATGTATTGCTGGGACCTGGTGAGTTCTCAGTACAGTAGCCACTCATTTTGTAGGGGTACGTTCTAGACCTCATTGTCCAGGGAGGAAGCCACGTGAGTAAGTGGATAAAAACATGGCAGTAAGATTGGAGTCGGGTAATAACCTGCAGACACTGTGGTTTAGCCGAGGAGTTGGAGCTTGATACCAGGGCTGGATTTACTGGGCCAGTCATTAGTCATTTATTTCACAAATTCAAGGTAACTCCTGTTTACAAGCCACCAGGGATATAGCAATGCACAAAGAGCTGGAGGTGGTCGAAGCAGATAATCAAATGGAAAGAATTTCAGGTTGTAGGTGAATCCTGTAAAGAAAGGGAAAGTCAGGACCAAGAGAACAGAGGATGAGATAGACTTGATCTTGAGCAGCCACAGAAAACCTGATGAGAGACCTGAAGGAAGTGAGGAAACTAGCCAGGAAGGAGACAGGCTGGGAGAAGAAAGTGGGGGACGGGGTGGGCCTAACTGCGTGTGAGGGCCCCGACAGGAGGCTGTGCACCCAGGAGAAGGGGGCGGGCAGAGGGAGAAGAGCAGGTCGAAGCCTGTCCTCACTGTCTTGTTCTCACTGCTTCCAGCCTGGGGAGGCCCCGGTCATGCTGTGGGATGAGTTCAGCCTCCTTAATGCCTCCAGGCCAGGGGCTCGATTAGTCAATGTCAACGAGACTGTGAAGGTAAGAGTCTGGACAGAGCCCCTGACTGGTGGGCGGGCAGGTGGTCCGTGAGAGCTTGTGCCCACCGGAGCCCTCACCTGTCCTGCTTTGTCATCATCGTTTGCAGGGACAGGAGAAATCCGCTAGGTCTTCCCTCAACCTGTTCCGGATGCTGAGTGGAGAGCGGGTCAAGGAGCGCTCGCTGCTGCACGGGGACTTCCACACACTCTCCTCGGGGCCTAGCCTCTTCTCCTACATCCGCCAGTGGGACCAGAACAAGCGGTTCCTGGTAGTGCTCAACTTTGGGGACATGAGTACCTCGGTCAGTTTGAAGGCTGAGGACCTGCCACCCACGGCTCAACTCATGCTTAGCACCGAGCCAGAGAGGAAGGTGGGCGTCTCCCTGGAGCTGCAGCACCTGAACCTGGCGCCCAACGAAGGGCTGCTGTTCAACTTCCCCTATGTGGCCTGACCCCGGCCCCCTTCTCCTGCCTTCTCAGAGCCTGTTTTATCCCCTTTTTATATTGTCACAGATGGTAGATGACCCCCAAAGTAGGGTGTTTTCTGGTTTCAAATAAAAGTCACCCTTGCCTGGTGAGGTGCTGTGTATGTCCTCTTTTTCCTCCTGGCCCTGCCCCCCTTAGCCCAGCCAGAGTGCATGCTGGTCTGATCCCGCTCCTTTGGTCCTGGGAGGAGTGAGACCCTGCTACCTTTCTAACAGGGAGGAGGTGTCAGAGTTGGGGAAGTGTCCACACTTGTGCCCTCAAGCTGGATCATGCTTCTCACCTGGAGTTCAGGGAGCTCAGGGCCACTGTTTCCTTCCCAGCTCAGGCATCAGTTTCTCTGGTTTTGCAGACTTGCCTTTCAGGGAGAAGTGAAATGACTTGTCTTCTAAAATATGCAGAGACCACTTATCTCACAAACTTGTGGTGAGCTCAGGATGTGCCCGGAACTGCTGCAGGTCCTAGCTTATAGCAGAGAATCGGCTGTAGAGATCCCTACATTGTTGTTTAACTGGGAGATAGACAAGAAGTGTGATGAGTGAAATATACAGCATGGTGAATGTGGTGAGAATCTCAAAGAGAAATAAAGCAGGAGAGGGGGTGGGGCATTTGGCGGTAGAGGCTGAGGACCTGGAGTGGATTGAACAGAAGACCTGAGGTGTTAAGACTGATGTATGGGATAAACTTTCTAGTGCAAAGGCCCTGGGGTTCGGATTTTGTGAAGAACTCGAGGGAGGGAGAAATGATGTAATTAGTCTTCTAGCATGAGACCCTGTCTACAGTCAGGAGGAGACCAGCCCAGAGCTGGTTCCTGTGAGGGGGGGTCAGACACCCAAACCTTGCCATCTGACACCAGCCGTCTTCCCCATGGCACTCACTGTTGGGTTTGACACTTTATTGGCAATAGTCACTCAACTCACAGACTGTTCTCCCAGGGAAATAACATGCTACAGCTCAGGACCAGGACCAACCTAGAAGTAACAGGATCCAGCTTGAGACAGGATACACAGAAGCCTTCACTCAGAACAGCTTCCCAACCAGGCGGGCAGGCAGCAGGCCCATGCCCTCTGTCATGGTGTAGGTACCTTGTGGCACTGGCTTCATTGTTTAATCCAGATTAGAGCGCTCAGGAAACTCCCTTCCAATTGTTGCTTATAAACATGCTCCCTACCTATTTTCAGAGCACGGCTCCCCACAAATTGACCAATTCCCTCTGTAGTCACAGTCACTTAATTTGCATAGTAATCATTCAATTCCCACAAGTTCATTTATTCCTTCTGGGAGATTGTTAAAGTGTACCCTTTGGTTCTTAGGTTTTTAGGTGCCTTCAAGTAGGACCCACAGCGACCCTATGAACAACAGATCTGAACCCTATCCTATCTTGTCTGTGCCATCCTCATACTTCCTGACACATTGGAGCCCATTGCAGCGGTCACCATGTCAGTCCAGCTGGTTGAGGGTCTTCCTCCTCTTTGCTGACCTTTCCAAGCATGATGTCCCTCTCCAAAGAACAGCCTCTCCTAGCAACATGCCCAAAGTATGTGAGGCAAAGCTTTGTCATTCTTGCCTCCAAGGAGCATTCTGGCTGCACTTTTCCAAGACATGCCTGTTTGTTCCTTTGGCTGTACCTAGGGACTCTGCTAATCCAAAATTTTTAACAGTTTCGAATTTACTAGTAGCTCGTAGAGAGAAAGATGGGCAATCTCCAATTGTGATTTCCAACCTGAAAACCTGCCAGAGGGTCAGCTAGGAGTCAGTTGTGATTTGACAGCAATGACTTGTGATTTTATATACCTGTGAGTCAGAACTGACCCCTAGCTGACCCTCTTGTGGGCTTTAAAGGCAGTAAATCACAACAGAGGAGATTGCCCATCTTTCACCCACAGAGCCACTGGTGGACTCAAACCACCAGAGAAGCAGGACTTTTGAATTAGCGCAGCTTCCTGTGGGCTATTTACCTCGAGAGCTTCCTAGTACCTAGTACATTAACCAGTTCCTTCACAAGATTGTGACATAGCCAATCAGTTTGGCGGAATCAGAAAGTCAAGTCCAGAGAAACTCATAGTATTGCAAATATGGTGTAGGTGACAAGTGGGGCAGTTGAAGTAGACAGGTGAATGCAGGGCCGATGGGTGTGTGTGTGTGTGTGTGTGTGTGTGTGTGTGTGTGTGTGTGTGGTGGAATGGAGGTCGTTAAAAGGCTTTGAGCTTTGCAACGTGATCTGACATTTTACGAGGCTCACTGGCCATGTGACTAGCTTGGACGCAGGTTAGTAGGATGATGTTGCTACTGCAACCTAGAAAGTGCACCTGCTTTCTAGACTGGTCACTTGTGGTGGTTTAGCCTGTGATGGTAGTACTGGAGGTGGTAAGAAATGTTTAGATCTTGGGAGACCCCAGGATTTGCTGTTAGAGCTTTCTGTTGCAGTCCTATTGTGTGTCTGTGAGTTGAAACTGACTTATAACTGACTCTCCAGCAGGTTTTCAGAGGCAGTAAATCACACAAGAAGAGATTGCCTGTCCTTCTCCCACAGAGCAGCTGGTGGATTTGAACCATGGGTCTTTGGGATTGCAGTGCAGTTTTTAATCAGCAGGTCACCAGAGTTCTGGGTTACTGTCATAGTGAATCATAACGTTGGCCACAAAAGCCTTGTGGTTAAGTTTGGCCCTCCTCCACTTCTTATGAAGATCTTCATTGGTCCCCAAGCATGAGCTGCTTTTGAGTTGAGCCTGCACCTTAGAGTCTTTCCTAATTAAAAGACAGATTAAAAGAATAAAACCCAAGGAACCAAATCCATTGTGTTTGAAATTGATTCCAACTCATGTCAGCCCCATGTGTCACAGGGTAGAACAGGTTACATGTTTTGTTTTGTTTTGTATGGGGTTTTGTTGTTGTTGTTATGCTTTTAGTGAAAAAAATTTTTTTTAAACTTTTTATTCAGGTTTGTCCTGGAGAAGGTAAAACCAACCTGTTCCTTGGAGTCAAGGCTTTTGAGGCTCCGTGTGACATACTTTGGGCATGTAGCCAGGAGGGAACAATCCTTGGAGAAGGACATAATGCTTGGAAGGGTGGAAGAACAGTGCAGGAGAGGAAGATCCCAGATGAGATGGATTCACACAGTAACTGGGGTAGTGAGAGTAGATGTGTCAGAGACAGCGAGATTGGCCGAGGGTAGAGCAGGGTTCAGAGCTATTATGTGTAGGGCCGTTATGAGTGTGGTCGTGGCACACAACACAACAACAACAACAACATTGTGATTTGGATGAGTTTACAGAACATGTCTGTTTTCCATCCCGCAAGTTATGCACATTTTGTTTTATGAGGTTGACTGCAGTCCCCACACAGTAATAGTGCTCTTGCCACCTCCTCACTGTTTGCTGGTTCTCTTTGTTCTTCTCTACCCCCCTCATGCCTTCTGAGCTGGACCTGTGCTGTCTTTTCCTCTTGTAGGTTCTTCATTCTAAGGAGCGCACAGCTCCTTGGTGGTGTTTATTGACTGAAAGTTGAGCTACAGCAGGTGATTGGTGAATGTTTACATAGTTAAGTTCCCATTTAACAATTGCTCTGGTGACTTTGAGCTGTGGTATTGGAGAAGAGCATTGAATAGCCCATGAACTGCCAAAAGAACAAACAGATCTGCCTTGGAGAAAGTGCAAGCAGAGTGCTTCTTAGAAGCAAGAATAGCGAAGCTTCATCTCACATATTTGGGGCATGTTGTTGGGAGAGGCTATTCTTTGAAGAGGGACATCATGCTTGGAAAGGTGGAGGGTCAGCGAAAGAAAAAGAACCTTAATGAGATGGGTTGACATGGTGGCTGCAGCTCAAGTGTGTTGAGGAGGCTAAGGATGGGGCAGGATAGGACAGGGTTCGGATCTGTTGTTCAGAAGGTCGCTGTGAATCCAGCCGTGGTGACCTCGTGGTAAGGAGTGGCACTCCCACCCGAAAGGTGCGGTTTGAATCTTCCAGCTGCTCCACAGAAGAAAGATGTCACTCCACTGGGACATCAGCTGGATTCCAGGACACACAACAACCATACACGGTTCAATGATATCAGATAAAATTTTTTGCAATGTGTTAATTGTCAACTCTAGATGTTTTGTTTCCTGTTTCAATAATAGGTTTCCTTGCCCCCTTATCCTATCTTTGCTTCAGGGAGCTATTGTGGCCTAGTGGTAAGAAGCTGCAATCTGAAGACAGGTGGTTCAAATCCACGAGCTGCTCTGTGGGAGGATAAGCAATTGTTGATCATTTGGTCTCATAGAAGTTATTTTTGTAGGGGAGCTCTGGTGGCCTAGTGGCAAGAAGCTGCACTGCAATCCCAGAGGCAAACTGTTCGAAACCACCAGATGCTCTGCCGAGGAAGGAGAGACAATCTCCTCCTGTACCAGTCAGATCTGATTTGATGGTACACATACACAAAATAATAAAATTTAAAAAAAACAAAAAAAATTATTTTTGAGGAAGCTCTGGTGGTCTAGTGGCAAGAAGCTGCACTTCAATCCCAGAGGTGCATGGTTCAGATCCATCAGATGCTCTGCTGGAAAAGCAGAGACATCTCCTCCTGTACCAGTAAGATCCAATTTGATGGTATATGCACAAAAAAAGTAATCTAAAAAAAATCACTTTTGGAAGGTACAGAAAACTGAGGTAGTATTCTTTATTATATAAGCCAATCTGTTATTTAGTTCAAAGGTGACCTCAGCATAGTTTTATTTTGAGGTTTGCGCTATATCCTGGGAAGTCCTCTACTCTCAGCTAGTCCATAAATCTAGACTTTTTTTAAAAAAAGTTTGATTAGTATTTATCTATTTAGTTTTGTTTCATTAAAATGAAAGTTTACAGACTTTGGATTTCCGTACTTTTATTGTTGCACTTTCCTCCCTGCTCACTCCTTCCCCCCAGTTTGCTTTTCTCTTTGAAAAGTAAAAAAAAAATTATTTCATTGTTATACAATTCCTCACACTCCACC